GCGCTGAGGGCTCCGCTCCCTGGCTTAGCGGCTGGAAGTGCAGGAATCAGCTTTGCCTGTGGCGTATGCACCCCTGGCACTGCCCCACCTGCTGGAGCCTCTGAGCTCTGCGCTCTCTTCACCTGTAGTGAAACAGTCAGAACCTGGGCGCCCCCCCCCCCTTGTCTCCCCGGGCAGTGACCTCGCCAACCCCTCTTCCTGGAAGGGCCCAGGAGGCGGGACAGCCGGAGGCTTCAGCTGAGGCGCCTGCAGAAGCTGCAGGGAGGACACTGCCACCCACAGCCTCCCGAGCTCACTGGAGCAGGGACAGCGGACGCCCAGCGGTGCAGCCTGAGTTTGGCTGGGGGCGCCGAGGGCAGGAGCAGGAAAGAACCATGTCCCCAGGCTGCCCGCGCCTCTGGGTCCTGCTGGTCCTGGGCTCCAGCTGGGCAGGCTGGGGGTCCACGGGGGCCGAGGCCGCGCGGCTGAGGCAGTTCTATGTGGCTGCGCAGGGCATCAGCTGGAACTACCGCCCGGAGCCCACAGACCCCAGGTAAGGCAGGGGTGGCGTCCGTGGGCTTCTGTGGGAGCTCACTCGACTCTTCTTAGGCAGTTCCCTCTGCTGATCCTGCTCGGAGTCTGAGGATATTGAAAAGATGCAGTTTGATTGGCTAGAAGCTTCTTTCAAGTCGGCTGATAACACAGTTTAGTTAGTATGCTGGATTGTTGGTTTAATGTATTGATTGGTTCAAAAGCACCAGGCACCCACCCCCTCGCTAGCCTCTGCAAACTCCTGTTCTAGAATTTTAGTGGTCTAGCATTGTCAAATGTCTAGTTGCATTTATTCCATTCTGTACATCGCTTCATCTTCTAAAACTAAACCTTGTGCGTTATTATATGCAAATTATTCAATAAGGACTGCCATCATTGTGTTGTTTTCTTATAAATGACTTTAAAGCATCATTAGTCCCTAAAAATGCAACATTTTAATTCTTTTTTCCTCACTTAATCTTGGCAATTTGAGTGGGGTCCCTATGAAAAGGCAGATGCAGCTAAGAGGAGGTTTAAATAATAAAACTCTATGTTTGAGTCAGAAACCACTTTTCCCAATTGAAAGGCTAAAAATAAAACTTCCCAGAAATGAGACAAATTACAGGATTTGCTCAATATTTCCAGTTGGTTATATTTTTACTTGTCTTAAGGGTAAATCTCTTAGTGTGGCTCATTTTTTTTTAAAAAAACTTAACATCAGACTTTGAATGATTGCGAAAGACATGTTCCTCTTTTACAATTACAAAGCGATCTGGCAAGAGATATTGTAATATTTTCAGTCTTTTCGTGTATAACCTTAGCCCTTTTAAAATTTCCTTAATAAGGTTTATTTTTGGGGGTATTACATACTCTCTTGGTCTTGTAATAAGAAATCCCTCTTTTTTAAAAAAAAATACAAATCATCTTAAATATTTCATTTCAAGGTGATAATCAAGTTCCCACGCACACTGTACGGAGCTGCCATTAACTAAAACCCCCAGGAAGATAAGTCTTTCCAACACTGATCTTTCCTGCTCTTGCGAATACTGACTTGGTTGCTGGCTTTCCTGTGGCCGCCGTGCTACGCTTGGAAACGTGGTCTTTCTTCCATAGTTAATGCTGAAAGCTGGGGGCAGGACCACCGAGGTCAAAAGTCGGATTCACGTGTTGAGTCCACAGGGAGCCACGGCTGCTCTGCGGCTAAGTTCCCAGGATTCTGGGAAGAGTCTTTCTTCTGGTATCAACTATTGAATCAAAACCATAGGCGGATAACTCAGACCAATGCTCCATACTGAACCTCAAATCACGTCATTTCCCTCTAGCACTTTCTGGTGGGAATCTGTATAACTGGCTGCTTAAATTAAGAACTTGCTCTAAATTGTCCGACACTGAGAACTAACTGATACTATAAGGGAATCAACATTTGGCAATCAATCCCACCCCTTGCCAAAGTCCATTTTAGCACAAAGCAAAGATCTTTCCCTTTAGTTCATCTAAAATTAGCAGAGCAGTGCCTTTAGAGGTTAAATATATCTATTATTCTTGCTGCAGGCCTGAAGTGACTGTTTCTAGAAATTTCCTTAAGAAAACTTGTTCAGTCATTACATGCACGTAGTAACAGATATTTTTAAAATGCATATATAGCCCTAGCTGGTTTGGCTCAGTGGATAGAGCATCGGCCTGCGGACTGAAGGGTCTCAGGTTCAATTCTGGTCAAGGGCACACGCCCGGGTTGCAGGCTCGATCCCCAGTGTGGGGTGTGCAGGAGGCAGCCAATCAATGATTCTCTCTCACCATTGATGTTTCTCTCTCTCCCTCTTTTTCCTCTCTGAAATCAATAAAAATAAAAATGCATATATAGTCATCATACATATTATTTGAATTCATATCATCTCTAACTTTCTGTTCTGACAGATTATTTTCCAGGAGCCATTCAACTTTTTCAAAATCAAAAGAAGTATGCCTCAGTATGCTCACACAATATATACAGTCAAATATGTTAGAAAACACACATCTATTCAACTTACTCCACATAAAAGACTGATTTTTCCTGGTAGAGCTTTTACGCCATCATCTATATTCCTGTATTTAGAGACCTGGGGTGGGGGAGGAGGAAAAAATTTTCAATTTTACTAACAACCAAATAAATAAAAATGGAATTCTATGTTAGGGATAAAATCAACATCCTTGGGTTCTAAGAACTTTAGAGGTTGTTTAGTTCATTTTCAACTTCCCTGTCCTCACCTTCTGCTCCCCCCACACCCTGAGCACCCATATTCCTAGTGTTCAGTTCCTATTCCACTGCGAACCCACTGCTTCCTATAGCTGGTCATTCCAAAAGCACTTATTCATTCTGCCCCCAAACATTTACACAGTTCTTATAGCTCACAAAAAATTACCAAGATTACTACCATTACAGATTTTTCTGTTTTCTGGGAAAACCTGAAGGCTGAGCACCAACTTTTATTAACTTTTAAATTATTACTAGCTAACTCTAAGTCCTTTGCTGGTAGCAACTTATTTAATACTCATAACGATTCTGAAAGGAAGATTTTACTATTATTCCCATCTCATATTTGTAGCAACGGAGGAACAAGTGGGTTTAGTAAGCTATTCAAGGTTACACATGGTTTAAACGATGTGTTAATAACTAGACACAGACACTCTGACTCCCCTCTCTGCCCAGCCACTGTAACATGCAGAGGTCATGGCCACTGGGGAGGGTCTCCCACGTATACCCTGACTATGGCTGGGCCACTGTCTCTAGGTTAGGAAGCTTGACAAAGCCAACCTGGTCAGCTGGTTTGGACATTTTAAGAAATGTCCCCCAATTCTCTTCCCTTTACCTTTATCTTTGAGTTTGAGAGGAGGATAGGAATGAAGTGTCCCAGGAATCTCCTCCCTCCCTCTGTGAATTCTTTACCAGGAACACAATGGGTCCACCTTTTCTGAATCTTGGCTCTACCCCTTATCCAAGGACAAGTTACTTAAACTCTCTGAGAGTTAGTTTGCTCATTTGTTTGTTCCCAGTGTGAATCCAGGGCTTTTACTCAATTACCATAGCAAACTTCTCAACTAGAAGTAGGATCCACCAAGTCAGTTCTTTACAACGTTGCCCAGTAGCTTACCTCTGTATCTGACTGACCAGCTGAAGCTATCCCACATATTTATTCATAAAAGATTTGATCATGTTTTAATTATTTAAACTCTAAACCTAAAGTTTGGGTTCACATCACCATCTTGGTTTCTTCTTCAGAAAATTGGTTCTGAAGGATCAGTTAGGTCAGGCTTAATTTGTGACAGAATGGTGATCACTGCAGAATATTCTTGAAGAGACCAACAATTATTGTTATCAGTGTCGTTTATTGTTCATATTTATAAAACCATGGGTTTCTGAAATACAATTAAAAATACTATTGCTCCTAGGACATGAGAGATTTCTTTCTTTCCTTTTTTTCCCCCTTTGGAACGTGAGTAGATGTCAGACATACATTTTAAATTAGTTTTTGTATTTTATTTCCAGTTTGAATCCTTCTGCAACAACTTTTAAGAAAATTGTCTACAGAGAGTATGAAGCATATTTTCATAAAGAAAAACCACAATCTAAAACTTCAGGTAAGCATGAAACACATGTTCTCTAATTTGATATTACCTATATCAAAAATATCCATTTAGTGGTATTTTATAGAAATGTGAGTTTTTGTTGTTTTAACCAGTATAGGCCACATAACTTGTGGAGCTCAGGGCAAAATGAAAATGAAATTCACATGATTGAGAATTTCAAAGCAGTGACATCGAAGAATGGCGGCAAGCCGGGCCCTGTGTGGTTTCACAGGCCACAAGTCACACGCCCACGGAGCCAGCTGTTTTTAACCTTGACCAAGAAGCTGAAAAGGCCTTTTACGTGTTTGAATTTTTATCCATTCATCTGACAAGCTGTGACTGAGCACGCGCTCTGGGCGGGGCCTTGCACGGGGTGCTGCGGGTGCTGTGGGTGCCACAGGGGACAAGGCAGGCGGCCCAGGCTGAGGGTGCGACAAGCTTAAGCTAAGGGTCCTTCCTCCCTCTGGCTCCCTGCACTCATTCAAAGGAACTGCAAGTGGCTGTTCTGGATTCTTCTGCGTCTGCCTATCCCGGCTCCTGTTTTATTACGTGTGCTGTGCACAACAGCTATCACTTTTAAAGAAAAGTCTCTTCTTCCTTCCTTAGTTCTTCTTTAACCAAGGAAAGCGTGTCGCATGGGTTGAGGGCTGAAATATGGCACCATATTTTCACAGGAACGACAGAGGTCAGCAAGCAAGAACTTCCCTCCAGTTGAATCCCTGGTCACTGATTCACTGGGCCTTCCCTGACCAGTGTGGCCTGCACTGTGTCCCAGGCTCACTTTTCTGCCTTTCTCCCCTACCTCCTCTGATCTCCCTTTATCTCCCCTCTTTCCTGGACAGGAGCCTTCCCCATTAGCAATAAAACAAAACACAGCTATGTTCAGGTTAACTTTCATCTAGAACAAAACTCCCCTCCACCCTGCTTCACTCTCCTTTCTCTCCCCCCTCCTTCACTATCAGTCGCCATCTGAAGGGCCCACTTCATTCCCTATGGTGTCACTTCCTCTCCCTGCGCTGCCTCCCTAACCTGCTCTGAGGGAATCCACTAGAATTACTCTCAGAAGAGGCCCCTATGGCTGCAGGGACGCCAGAGCCAACGGTTTCTTTCCAAGTCTTTCCCAACTTGACATTCCTAGGACATTCAATGCTCCCCTCTGGAAACCCTATCTCCTTTCCTGGGGGGAACTCAGAGATAACGCCTTCCTGAAACTTGGCCCCACATGGGAGGAGCGACAGGGTGCTTCTGAAAGGGAATAAGGGGTTGGAGGATATTTTGGAGTTTTATAAAAAAGAACACAGTGACTTAAAATATCTAAGGGCTCGGGGAAGAATCCAGTAGAAAAGGCGAAGATACAGTCTCTGATGGACGGAGTCAGGCTCAGAAGAAACAGGGCGTCAACAGATAGGAGACACACTGCCTTCCCTGGGGCTGGAAGGTTACTCGTTAAGTTGTTTGTAGCCCTGGGCAGGAGGGCAAGGCTCTGCCAGCCTTTGCCGTGGAGTTGACTCATGTTCATAACTCAATTCCAACCTTAGCACACACCTAAGAACTTTTTAATTAAATTAAACTATAGGTGGGTAAAGGGAAAGCGAGCCAGGAAACATTAATGAGGCCTGGGGAAAAATAATTTGGGTGGTGTTTAGAGCCCTATCTTTTGTGGCTTTTGCCAAGTTAACTGAACTTGAGTGCTGCGCTGTGGGGGCCATTGGGCCGAGTGCCGTGAGTGACAGAACAGACCAGAGCCAGGCTGGAGACCATCCCTTAAGCCATAAGGCGGCATTGATCGTTTTCGGGGAGGTGGGCACTGTGATCAAAATCCTTGGAGATGATGAACTTTCGTAGTGATTTCCTGATCCAGCCTCATCAATTAGAGGTAGACCTTGACAGATGATTCATGGTTAAGCCCTGTGCACTGAAAACTATTTTTCTGTCAGTCTCTGTATATCTCAAACAGATCTGTTGTGTATGACCTCTGAGGCATTTTTAACATTCATTTTTATGCAGCCTCTTCCTAAACTCCCAAAGTTGCTGAACTATGATCCCCTGGAGGGCAGGGATGACGTCTTATTCATCTTTGGATCCTGGTAGTAGTTGATACAGGAGGCGAATCTGGTGTCCAGAGAAAGCCTCAGATATTGAATGAGGAGATCTGGGTCTGAACACTACCCTTGACTCGTGACCTTCCCCTCCCAGCCTAGTTCTGCCATTCATACCTCCCCCTGTTTCCACTCGTCAGGTGGGTGTGATTCTAGTTGAACCTGAAGGGGAACCGCCATGCACCCCACTCCATAGCAGGAGCCCAGACTCCGATGCAGGACTGGAGGTCGGAAGACCGATGCCTGCCCAGTGGACAGGGGGAGGAAGGGACTGGGGCCATTTTCAGGAATTCTGTCTTGTGCTTTTGAACAGCTAGTTTTGAGTCTTTGCACCTTTTCAAAAAAAATTATGACATGTTTGTCCCTGAAGGTTCTAAAAGAGCTGCAACCATGGGCGACCTGTTTTCTGTAATGCATTACTCACCTGAGAGCAGGGGGTGGGTCAGCTGACCTCCCTGTGGCCATTCCGGAGGCCCCAGCTGCAGGAAGTTGGGCACGGGCTGTGCTACCTTCCTGGGCCCCCAGCTTGACTTGGGCCCTGGGGACGGGGGTGGGAAAGGTTTCAGGGCATCTGGCCGACAGGGGAGCTGAGCAGCAGCTCAGGAACATTTGGCCACGTGTTTGCCTTCACGCATGAAGGCGTTTGAATTGCCTTGAGAAAACATTCCTTTGTTTTGCCCTAATTCTGAAGAAGCAGAAGGGAGGCCAAATAAATTCACTGCCGTTGGAGGTCTCATTAGGTTAAACAACTTATAAGGCTTATTCTGGGCATCTGGTATGTGCAGCCACGAGATGCCAACAAGCAACTCAACCAAGCAAGGCCACCATGGCAACGAAATGCAGGGACAGTGTGAGAGCGGAGTCCGCACGCATGGGCCTCGTGGGCATCCCGGCAGGTGGGAGCAGCCAGCGGGAGCTTCGCAGGGAGCTAGGACTGAGCGTAGCAGCCAGAAGAGAGGGGTCAGCCGGGGTCAGAGTGGTCAGGAGTCAAGACTGGTGTAGACTGTTCCAGAAAAGGGGGCCTGTACCTGCCCTGGGGAAAGTGGTAGAGAAAGCGTTGGTCCGGGAGTCCAGAGACCTGAATGTCAGCCCCAGCAATGCCACCGAACCACTGACTGGCCCTGGGCAAGCTGCCCTCCCTGCTCCCGTGGTAAGCCCCGTGAAGCCAGGGAGGGCACCTATGTTACTCAGCATTGCAAGTCTGACCCAGGAAACGTGGGCACTCAATTACTATTTGTTGAATGAACGAATGAATGAATGAATGAATGAGAGATGGGAGGTGGTTACAAGCTCAGGATCCAGTCAGACAGGTTTTGCTTTGCCCACAGCTCTGCTCATGGGGGGCAAGCTAGGGAAGCAGAAGCAGGAGGAGCCCCCGAGGCCCAGTTTCCTGCCCTGTGAAACGAGGATCTTACCAACTACCTTAAAGACGTGTCGGGAGGATTAACGAGAGGATGTACATGCGTGACTATCCTGGGGGGACGGTGGATGGAGCCCTGATCAGCACCATCCCCGCTGCCAGTGGGTGCGGGTGAGCTCCGTGGAGCTGACGCCTGCTGCCCCCGTGATGCCTAAAGGCCAGAAGCCAACCCCACGAGACCTAGTGGGTGGCTTGGAAGTGGGGGCAGTCCATTCCTGCCATTTGTTGAAATAAGGCTCTGGTGACGGGTTCTCCAGCTCTCGGGGACATCGGCGTCACGCAGGAGCACATGCTCAAAGGCAGGGCCCCGACTCCACCTGCAGAGACCGGTTCACTGAGGCTAAGCTGGTCCTTGGGAACCTGGGCCCAGGTGGTCCTGCAGGGGACCCGGGGACTGCACCTTGGGAAGCTCTAGGGCCTAGAGCAGCCGTGGGCAAACTTTTTGACTCGAGGGCCACAATGGGTTCTTAAACTGGACCGGAGGGCCGGAACAAAAGCATGGATGGAGTGTTTGTGTGAACTAATATAAATTCAAAGTAAACATCATCACATAAAAGGGTACGGTCTTTTTTTTTTTTAGTTTTATTCATTTCAAACGGGCCAAATCCGGCCCGTGGGCCGTAGTTTGCCCACGGCTGGTCTAGACTGTGATTCCTCAAAACTCAGAGCAGATGTCCTGTCCCCTCACCCCCCACCCAGGGCTGGTCCTCCAGCCTCTGCCCGCAGCTCAGCAGCAGCTGCACCTGTGTCCATCTCCAACGGGCTGTGGCTCCTTGAGGACAGGACCTGGCACAGCCCCTGGTGTGTAGGAAGGGAAACCTCTCTTAGCTCCTGCATCCGACCCGCTGTCCTACTGTGTTCCCATCGACATAGCTGATAATTAACTCAGTTGTTCCGATTAGAAGTCTCGCGTCATCCTGGCTTCTCTCTCTCTCATGCCACATCCAACACGTCAGCAGATGCTGCTGGCTCTGCCTCCAGAATTCAAAGCCCAACCTCTGCTCACCACTTCTCTGGCCCGATGTGCTGTTGCCTCATCTCTGTCACCAAGTCCTGCTTCCACTCTCATCACCACACAGCAGCGGGGGTGAACTTTTTGTCTGTTTTTTTTTCCTTTTTCTTTTTTAGGATGAACTTTTAAAATGCATCAGACCCCACCTCCCTGCTGCACAAAGCCGCCTCGACTCCCCATTTCATTTAGAAGAAAACCCAAGGTCCTTGCTGTGACCATAGGGCCTTAAGGGCCCTGCCCCCACCGTCTCTTCTCACTCTGCCCAGGCTGGGTTGTTTGTTTACTGTTCTTTGAAAACATCAAGCTCACTTCTGCCTCCAAGACTTTGAACTTGTCCAAGAACTGTGTGATTTGCTCCCTCACTTCACTTTGTCCCTCTAAAGTAGCCTGTCACCCTCCCTCATATCACCCTGCACATTTGAAAATGAACATCTGCCCTAGCCTGTTTGGCTCCGTAAATAGAGGGTCGGCCCATGAACTGAAGGGTCTTGGGTTTGATTCCAGTCAAGGGCACATACCTCAGTTGCAGCCCAGGTCAGGAGGCAACCAATCGATGTGTTTCTCTCACATGCATGTTTCTCTCAGTCTGTCCCCCTCCCTTCCACTCTCTCTAAAAATAAGTAAATAAATAAATAATGAACACCTTTCTTTTCTTGACCAAAGACGGTAGGTCGTCTCTAAGGAATGACAGCGGGTCAGAATTGGGGGACACAGTGAGAACGACCGCTCCTACTCCGCAGCTTGCTTTGAGCCAAGCCAAGTGTTTCTCCCTTCCTGCCCTTAGCCGGCTGCACACAATGCTGAGCTTATGAGGCGGTAAAGCCTTACAGATGGAAGATAAGCAGGTCAACCTCAGAACCTGAAGGCTGACCGCAGTCACTCATGGGATTCTCTGCATGGTGTGTGTGTGTGCACGCGTGTGTGCATATGTCAGCTCTGTCTTTTGTAATCCTGACATACTTATCTTTGCTTCCCTAGGACTTCTTGGGCCTACTTTATATGCTGAAGTTGGAGACATCATGAGAGTTCACTTTAAAAATAACGCAGACAAGCCCTTAAGCATCCATCCTCAAGGGATTAAGTACAGTAAATCCTCAGAAGGTAAGAGGAGTTTCCTATCCCTCTGACAGGAGAAAACGTACAACCCTTTAACACCGTGTCGAGCACTGAAAACCATTCTATTAACCACATGTCACAGAACTCCCCTCAACTGGTGAAGAGGAAAATGATGGTTGTGTAAGCGTCAGGGGAATGACGGCGTCCTGGAGTCATCTGGGCCTCAGTGCTTTGTAGGTTCTTGTACTTCACTCGTTGGGTGGGCCAATTGCCTGCTCTCCCTGAATTCCAGTACGTTCACCTGCACAGTAAGAGCGATCACATGCACATTGCAGGATGGTGTAGGGTGGGTCTGCAGACTTCTCTGTAGAGAGCAGAAAGCAAATATGTTTGGCTTTGTGGGCCAGGCAATCTCTGCTGTAGCCACTCAACTCTCCCTTTCTGCACAAAAGCAGCCAAAGGCACTATCTGTATGTAAGTGAATGAACATGACTGCACCTCAATAAAACTTTATTTACAAGAAAAGGGAGCTGGCTGAATTTGGCCCACGAGCCATCATTTGAAATAGTGACATAGGACTAGCCTGGCACACAGATGACACTTAAGTAACGTTAAACTTTTGGACATAGTGAAGTAGTTGAGAACATAAGCTTTGAAGGCAGACTTAGGTTCAAATTCCACTGTATGTTTCTGGCTAAATGAGCTTAGCATCCCTGAACCTCAGTTTTCTCATCTGTGAAGTGGGAATGGTTATACCTTCTCCTAAGATTGCTTTGAGGATTAGATGGGATCGTTTAGGTATTGTACAAAATAAACATGGTTCCGGGAACCTGGTAAATGCTCAGTAAAGGATGTCAACGATGATGATGATGATGACAGTGACAGTGAAGATCATGAGGATGATGGAGATAAAAGTGAATATCACCTGTTGATATTGTTCTGATTATTTCCATTATGCTTATATTCAGACCACAATAAGCAGAATAGAGTTTTGCAAGGAACTGATATAAGAAATTGTGTCCATATCGTAATAGATGTTAGTATCATAACACAAATATAACTTTAGACCTTTCTTGATTCACAAATCTTCTTTCTCCCATATGTTCCAACCACCATACGTTTAAAGAGAGTAATTGAGCAGGAGAGTGGTTCACAGGGCAGGGTCTGGAGCTAGACTGCCTCAGGCACTAATTGAGTGATTTTGGGAAAGTTATGTAACTTCTTTGTGCCTCATCTTTCTCATCTGTAAAATGGGAATAATAATCAAGACTGCTTTTTTGGTTGTTATTAATCCTCACTCAGGGATAGTTTCCTATTGCTTCTTCAGAGAGAGTGAAAGGGAGGAAGGAGAAAGAGAGAAAGAGACACCCATCCATCGGTTGCCTCTTACACATGCCCCGACTGGGGGTGGGAGGGAACCCGCAACCCAGGTACATGCCCTTGACCAGGAATCAAACCCATGATCCTTTGGTGTGCAGGCTGACACTCTAACCACTGAGCACACTGGCCAGGGCATGACTTCATATAGGTCATTTCTTGTCATGAAATCTTAACACAACACCTAGCATATAATAAACACTTGATAAATATTAGCTATGATGGTAAAGGTGATTGTTCAATCAAAATTTGTTCAAATTAGTCAATATCTCAATTAAAATTTTTAAATGTGTCCAAATAATTTAACATTTAGATGACAATTTATGGATTAGAAAGTGACTTTTACATTTTTTTTATTATTATAGTGTAAATTATTGTCAAACTCATTTCTACTAAGGGATACGTGACTGCTAATAGGTCAATGAACTACCCTCCCTGGGGATATGTGCGTGACCACATACTCTTTGGTTTCAGGGAAAACAATGAAGCATGAACTGTGAAATTTCAGGCACCTTAAAGAGCCAATTCGGCAGGACCCTGGGTGAGGTAGCATGAGGAGGAGTCTCTCCTATGTCCCCCAAGTCACAGGATGTCATAGAACAGCCCCTTAACCTACATGTGAGGCTCCCAGACGACAGTGTCAGGAACTCAGCGCCCTGGTGCCAGCAGGGAGAGCCCTCAGGATGTCCCATGGAGGTCCCGTTTTAGACGTGGGAGGAGGTACGTGCTATGGACTTTGTATTCCAAGCTGGGCTGTTTGCATGGGAAACAAACCTTGCAACACCGTCCCTCTTCCTTTCTGTTTATTTGTCCCTACCACCCGCCGCGGCCAGCAGTCATTCGTGAGCAGAGGTTTAACATGCGCCCACCACTTCCGCTGGTCACCTGATCATTGCCCCTGGTGCCAAGTCTCTCAGAAAGTAAAGACAGTTTGGTGGGAAAGTCATGTCTTGCCTTAGGAATGAGATGCAAATCCAGCCAATAGAGAAAGCGTGTCCTTCCTGGCAAAAGGCAAGTCGCATTTTGTTGTGTCCTCTTCCCTAAAATAAAACATCTTCCTCGTGTCTGACCCTCACCCACGCCCCCCTCCAACACACACACACACCCCGCTCTGGTTTGAATGATTGTTTCAGGGGTGGAGAGGAACTATGTGCTGAGCCAGCTCCATGAGAATCCGGGTTTCTTTATCTCAGAGGCAGATGTTTGAGAGACGGATGCTGGGAGGTTGAGACGAGTAAAAGGCTTAAGAGAGGACTCAGTCTTTGTCCTTGTGGCTGCTTGATCTAACCAGAACCAAAGCAATCTCGAGAACAATCCTCCTTATCTGGGACCTAATCCTGGAGCCCCACCTGGGATTTGGAAATCTGCTCTCATCAGCGGGAAGGGAAGGACAGCCACGGGAAGAATGCCGGCTTTAGCGCCAGGATGGCCTCGCTTGGAACCCTAAGTAAACGTTGGCAATGTCCTTGACCACAAACCCTCGGTTTCATATCTATAAACTATAACTCCTTCCCTCTGAGGTTGTCGCAAGGATTAGTCAGAATCAAAGTAGAGGCCCAGGCACCGTGGGCGCACAATACAGCTAGCTGCTGTCGCGGGGCTCGTCCATGGCTATTCATATGCGGGCATTGCATTTTGTTCCCAGAAGCTGAGATTGAACAAAGGCCTTGGCCTCAGATAGTGTCATCTACCCGAATGAAATAAAAGGCTCCCATCGAATTCAGATGCCGAAATGAACTAAACTTCCCCAGAAAACCTCAGCTATCCCAGCACATTTTGAATAATTGCAGTTTCCAGGTAGTTTGAGGTTTACTTCAAGTGTCTAAACAGTGGTCAGCAAACTGCGGTTCGCGAGCCACATGCGGCTCTTTGGCCCCTTGAGTGTGGCTCTTCCTAAGCCGTCTGAGATGTTTTCTTTTCATTGCTTGAATGAATCTTTCTAAATGGTATACTTCCCTAGGCCTTTCTAAAACAGTGGTTGATGGCCTGTTCGAGGCTTCTATGTCTCTGGATCTATTTTTCTTCATCAGTTTATGTTGGTCATTAGATTCCACATATGAGTGAGATCATGTGATACTTATCTTCTCTGACTGGCTTATTTCGCTTAGCATAATGCTCTCCTGGGGGCAGGGGAGAGGACAATGGGGGAAAAGGGGGACATAGAGGAGAATTTCAACAATAAAGAATAAAAAATAAATAAAACAGAGGATGAGAAGCAAAATCCGAGTCCCTCTCTAAGCCATTCCTTCTAGTCCGCTGTGAGAACTTACAGACATTCATAGGTGTTAGAACTGTGCGCAGGCTGAATCAACAGACTCTAAACAACAGCTGTTATCTGCCTGTGGTATGACCTGCAGGTGAAGACCAGAGCTTTCAGGCAGGGGTTTTGTACATGGTTTTGTAACCAGAGTTGCCCGAAGGCCTTGTTTCTGGGCCTTCTTGCTGTGGCTGTCATTTGAATTCTTGGCCGGAAGTCTGGGTGCTGGACAGGAAAGGTGTGCTCGTCTCACCCTGGCCTGTCATCCATGAATTGGTAGCATCTGACATAAAGGCTAAGTTGTAGCGTGGTGTTACCCAGCTGGTCCCAGTGACCCCCTCTCTCCAGGTGTGCGCGAGAGCACCCCAGTAGCACGCAGGGAGGAATGAGTAACCCCTGAGAGAGCAGGATGGACAAGTCATGATTTGTAAAATGCTTACAAGATCATTTCCTTTAGAGATGTACTTAACAGGAGTGTGTTTTAAACCGCAATCACAACTGTTCCTAAGTATTTTAAAACTTTCTGTCACTAAAAGAGGTTTTTCTCTTTTTAAAAAATATATTTTTTTTATTGATTTCAGAGAGGAAGAAAGAGGAAGAGAGAGATTGAAACATCAATGATGAGAGAGAATCATTGATGGGCTGCCTCCTGCACACCCCTTACTGGGGATCGAGCCCACAACCCGGGCTTGTGCCCTTAACCAGAATTTAACCCAGGGCCTTTCTGTCTGCGGGTCGCTGCTCTATACACTGAGCCAAACTGGCTAGGGCTGTCACTAAAAGATTTTTGACTTGAGGCTAAAATTTCAGAAATTCTCTGACCAGCATTTGGTGACTGTTTGAGTGTAATGCTGCACCTTTGAGCACATTTTGTTGTTCAGGAAAACTTTTGAAATTCTTTGTACAATTACCTTTAAGAGTTTGTTTCAGAGTGAATCTTATCCTTTTATTTTATTTATATTCTTATATTTTAAATGTGGGAGTTGCATTATAAATACTATAGTACAAAATTCTATAATATTCCGCTTTCTGCTGGTAACCCAACTCTGTGAATAAAAAATTGAAAAATAAAATTTCCACCAGGGATTGTTTTTTTGCATTTAAGTGTTGCCAAATTGTCTATATGAAAACAGTCTTCTAGATTTTTCCAAAATGTTCCAATGTTTGACATAATATAAGCAATTACATTTTTTCACTTTTTATCTGAATATTTTGGCCTAATCTAGACACTTCTCTGAGTATATAAGTACCTGAAACAAACTGTAATGGCTAATAGAACAGTTCTCATCAATCCCAAACATGTGGACTCCCCTTCAGCGGAGAGCTCCGTACGCTGTGCACTGGGCCAGGCTCGTTAGAAACATCAGCATCCAGTTTTTCCTTTGCCTCGCTGAAAGCTAAGGGCACCTTC